CGCCCGCCGTCGCCCGCCGGGCTCGCGCGGGAGAGGAAGGAGGAGAAACTTTGCCTTTTTATTGTTGTTTTAGTCCTTAAGTGCCAGGAACTCTGTTGGGTGGAAAAATGTCCTTCTTCAATTTCCGTAAGATCTTCAAGTTGGGGATCGAGAAGAAGAAGAAGCAGTATGAGCATGTGAAGAGGGACTTGAATCCCGAGGAGTTTTGGGAAATTATAGGAGAATTGGGTGACGGAGCCTTTGGGAAAGTGTACAAGGTAAGAGGGAGAAGAAGGGAAGTTGCGCTTGTGAGATAAAACAGCCACCGGCCCGGAGTGGCACTAGGATTTCTCGTCCCCCTTGTCCCTTGGCTCTATCTCTTGCCCCTTTTAACTTCGTAAACTGGCACTAGAACTTTAGGTTGTCATCCAAGGAGCAGCTAAGACAGTCGGGTTTTAAGGTTGAACAAAATGGGGCCTGCATGTAGTTTAAAGAGTTGATTGTTAAAGGGAGGCGAGATTATACAGTTTAGTCTGTCAAACTTTAAAGGAAATGATGGCGTTCTTTAATTCAAAGCAGGGGTCAGGCAGTGGTCCTTAAGTATTTTAAAATCATCCTTATTACAGAAACTCATGATACTTTTCGGTGGACTTACGTTTGTCTACTTGTATGCAATCATATGTGTGCTTGTACGAAAACAGTTTTTTTTTAGGGTCCAGGACCTAGAGCTGTGTCTATGGCTAAAACATAACCAGTCTCTTGGGGTGAGAGCAAAGTGATTTCTGCTTGCAGACTATTCTTGAGCTGGTTGCTTGACAACATACTATAAAATGGAATGGAATCTCTGATAGAAAAATTCCAGAAGAAAACCTGCATCTGGTCCTAGTTTCTAAATATAATTATAGTAAGCATTGACTAGAAGTCAGTGCCAGCGTTTAAGAAAATAAACACACGCACACACACACACACAAAATCAGTAGAAAGATCTGATGCTTCAACCTGAAGGTATTAACGTCAACTGTTTACTACCGCATAAGGAGTATATGAATGATGTCATTGGAATATTTTCATCCTGAAGGGTGAGATTTTTATGAGACACAGGTTAGGGGAAGGACCCACAGGGTTGCCTAGAAGTGAAAACATAAATAACTTACGTTTATACAGGACTTTGTAGTTTTTAAAGCACTTTCACATAATTTGGCCCCACGAAAGCCCTGTAAGGTAGGCAGCTCAATAGTATCTCCGTTTCACAGAAGAGGACACTGAGACTCAGAAATTGTTCAAAGGCACAGTCTGGATTTGAACTCAGGTCTTCTGACCCATGTTTCATATTGTTTTTTACTTTACTGTCTGTTGGTAAAAGTGATAGCGTTTTTTCTTCCTTTCTAAGCACCATCACACTTCTCTGTTTGCCCTGTCTCAGATGAAACTCACAGCCCCTAGTCTTGCTCATTCTTTACTCAGGCTGAAATATCCACTCTTCTCCGTGCTTTCGAACACCTTGTTCACATGGCTGCTATGGCACTTGTCATATTAATGTGTTTGTGTTTTTATGATAAAGCCGGGGCAAAAATTATGTGCATTTGGGTTCATCAGAAATTATGGTGTACATTTTCTGGACTTGATGACTATTTCAGTTGCCTTAGCACATAGTGCATCTCTCTATATATTTGCTGAAAGAATGTATATTACTATAATACATGTGCGTTTTATTGAAGTTACTGTATGCTGTGCAAGTTAGCAAAGTTAACTTCAGTACTGGTGTGGAGGGTAGAGGATGCGTTTCAGCAAGAGCTTACCCTGTAGATGCATGGTAGGAAAGGTTTTAGTGCAATGGGAAGATCACTCCTGGGAGTCAAGAATTGTGTTTTTGTGCAGTCTGTCACAAACCAGCTTTGTGGTCTTGAACAGAGCACTTAACTTCTCTGGACCTCCGTTTTCTTAGCTGGAAAATCATAGATTTCCCTAAACGTTTGTTTAGATTGCTTCACCCATTAGTGTTCTGTGAGTATGCAGTTATCTAGGAAAGGCAAAAATAAATCCTCAAAGTCTCTGGAATCCGGTAGCTGGTGATTATGGGCAGTTTTAGTGGTATAAATGTGTTACTGAATAGGAACACTAGTATTAAGACACTGGCTCTGGAGTTGCACTATTCTGGGCTCCCTCAATAGCAGCCTGTGAGCAGGGACAAATTGCTTAATTGTTCCATGTCTCACTTTCTTCATCAGTAAGACCTGCTCCTCAGTGTGTGAGAATTAAAGGAGATAATATAAGACACATAAAAAGGGCTCAGTAAATGGTAGAAGTTACTGTTATTGCGTTTAGAGCTCATAAGCAAAATATAGGCTGGGACAGGCAGGAAAAGGGACCTATGAAGATAGGTGAACCATTTTCTTATTTTCCCATGGCACGGAATGATTGTGTGGTCCTACTAATGCTCTGTGATTTAATTCTTTAACGACTGCAAAATGTAACATATCTTTGTATAGTGAGACATCAATTGAAAATTTTCTTAAAAACAGACTTATTCCATGAAATTGAACACTATAAAATTGTGTCAAGGATAATTTTCTGGGCTTGATTACTATTTTAGTGTGATATTTGAAGAGCATGAATTCTTTGCATCTTTTCACTTCACTATACTTTGCTTCCAAGGCTCTTGAGTTTTTCTTAAAGGAAAATTTAAACTTATCTGACCTGTTTTTTCTGAAAAGTTTTTGTTTTCCAAGATACTTTAGAAATTTTAAATTTATAAACTTTTTTCTGTGTGGGGGGGAAAAACTATCAAACCTTAATATTGTACATAATAGAAAACTATTTCTAAAATTGATTCTAACATTTGTTTATAGAAATTAATAACTTACAAAGATTAAATTGTAAATAGACAGTCATCTTGGGTACTTAAATGTGAAACATTTTTCCATCATATAGTTATATTCTTTCCACTCAGTTCATCTCTACACAACTTTGTAACAGTTACTTCCTTACTTGAAAAGTCTTCCCTATTTTCAATTTATTTTCTCTCTTAAGTTTCTGACTTATCTATTTATTTTTTATCTTTTTATTTTCTCTTTTTAATGTAGTATTTTACATATAAATGAAAATATGTAATATCCCTCACAATTTTTTTCAACTTTTGGATTCTGTTGTTATTAACAAGAAAAAAAAGTGACATAAAATTATGTATTGAATTGAAGCTGAACTCCTGACTATGCTGGATGAAAGTGATTCTTTTTATGGCACTGATGGGTGTGTACCTTTTTTAAAATAGTGAACTATATAATCTTCGTATTGAAAAGTACAAAAACATATGTGTATATTTAGCAAATAACAAAATGAACTCATATTAATCATCACAGTCAAGGAATTCTGCCATTACTGCTGAATCCCTCCTATCTCCCTTCTGAATTGATCCCTGTCTCCCCCTAAAGCAAACCATTATTCTATCTTTAAGTTATTCATTTCTTTGCTTTTTTATTTAGCTTACCATTTAGATGTTTATCCCCAAACATTATAAATTTAGTTTTGTGTGCACTAAACTTTATATGCATGGAATCATATTGAGTGTATTCTTTTTGTATCTTGCCTCTTTCAAAATCAGCATTTTGTTTTTGAGGTTCATCTTTGTTATCACCTAGAGCTGTAGTTAGTTATTATATGGTTAAATTATTTACGAACATACTGTTAATTGGTATATCAATTGTTTCCAGTTTTTGGCTTTTATACACAATACTGATGCATATATGCATGAGTTTCGCTAATACTTAACTCAGGAGTAGGATTGCTGGGTTATAGGGTAGTGTATCTTTAATTTTACTAGTTGATGGCAGACTATACCAATTTACACTCCCACCAGCAGCGTATGAAAATTTCCTTGCTCTGCATCCTCAAGAACATTTGGCATTGTCAGAATTTTTCAGTTTTGGCAATCTGATATTATAATTTTTAATTGTGGTTTTAATTCATTTTTCTGACTACTAATAAGTAATTCTTTTAATAGGTTTATTGGTAAATTGGATTTCTTCTTTTGTGTTCAAGTCTATTGGATGTCTTTTTCTTATTTATTTATAGTGTATTCTGGATTTTAACCATTTTGCAAATCATATTCCTGCCTTGCCAGCTGCTCACTTTTAGTTTGCACAAGTCTAGAGCCCTAGAGGGAGGCTACAAGGTGGAGGAGGAGGAGGGAGGACTTCACCGTTCTCTTTGTTTCCTGTGGGCTCCCTGTATGCTTTCCTGTTACTATGACTATCATCCTGGTGGAAATTCTTCACCCCAGCAACAGCAGTTGAATCCAGTTTGTAGTTTTCCCACCACTCACAGAGCTCGTCTCATCACAGCCCTTTATGATACTAGCTCCAGTTGGTTGGTACCCTCTTTCTCAAAAGGCACCTTTGTCCCATAAGAACCTTCTTCCAAGTTCAGAGATGCCAGCAGCAGCTGAGCAGCATTCTTTCCTCAGGGACCTGAGTTTCCGCTCTGCAGAACCTTTCCTCCAAGCTTCTGAGTTTTAATAATTCCAGTCCCTTCTCTTGGCTCCGTTGGTCCTACGGTAGTACCCTTTTCCTGCAGTTGTTACCTCCCTGGCCCTTCACTTTCTCTCTTTATCTTTTTTGTTACCTAGTTAACAACAGAGTCAATAATTATGTTAAATTCTCTCTATTAATATAATGTGATTTCTTTTTTCTTGCTGTACCCTGATTAGTACAAATATTAGATAAGCTAATAAATGGAGGGTGCAGAGAACAGTGCTTGGCACAAGATAATTGCTCAATGACTATCATCTAATAGCATAATGGATACTATTGAATAGTATACTTGATTTTTATATCCTATTTTTTTGCAAAATACTAAAATTTCCAATTTAACTACATAGCTCAAAAAACAATCATTGAACTTTACTGATACTGATAAGCTCAAATATCACCTTCTCAGTGAAGTCTAACTTGACTACCCTATTTAAATTGTAACTTCTTCCCTGTGAGCTCCTTCTCCCCCGCCCACTGCCCATCTTATCTTTCTTATTACCTTACTTTATTTTTTCCGTAGTGCTAATCACTAACATACTCTCTATATTTTAATTTGCCTATGGACTGTCCTTTCCCCACAATTACAAGTGCCACAAGGACAGAGGGATTTTGTACCTTTTTTACACTGTCAGCATCCGGAACAGTGCCTGACATATAGAAGGTACTCACTAAGTATTTTTTGAAAGAATGAATTGATTTTAGCAGCCAATTCTTGAGCTTACGTTAATAGATTTTTATTTTGCATTTCTTTCTGAGAACAGATGTCTGTGGGGTGCCGTTTGTCTTTGTGTTTTCTACACCTCCAACTAATGCTTTCCATGTATTAGATGTTCATGAACTCTGATTTGGTTTGTTTAGTTTTTATTTTCTGTTATGGTTGAATGTTTTTATGCACTGGACAGTAAGGGTCTTCTTGTCTTGGAGGAGGAATATCTTTGAGCTCTCAACCTTGAGATCAGAATCATCCAAATCAGTAGACTCAATCCTAATGGTTATTGAAGTGAATGAATTCATCTCTCTGTCTTTGCTTTTTAGATTCTTTTGGTATTCATCCTATTTTTTTTTTCCTTCCTCTTTTGATTGACTAACACCTCTGTGATACTAAAGTCATCTATATATTTTCTGTGCTGGTCTTTTGATTTCCAGCTGAGAATGTTTTTAAAATATATTTCTCATTATGAAGGTATTACATAGTCTTAGAAAATGTAGAAATATAGAAAGAAAATAAACGAAAATTTAAAAATGGTTTGTTCCTCATCATCCAGGAAGGTAACCATTGTTGAAACGAGTAATATAAGAGGATGTAATTTTTACCCTACTTCGTTTAGAACATGAAACCAGTACAGGAAACTTAATAAGTTATGTTTCCTTGTATCCTCCTATTTGTTTATATAAACTGGCCAAGCTCTATTCATGGTTCATGAAAATAAAAATACAGTGATTTTTAAGTGATCACGACTGAGCTCTGAAAACTTTTTATCAATAGAAGTTATGTCTTCTTTAAAGTACTATCTGGGTATTTGATATTTCATTCTTGTTTTTATTAACATTTATTTAATTATTTCATTAAGTCTTCATGTGAAGAATTTTCATGCTTTTAGGTAGTAGATAGATGAGACTGTTTCTTTTTAACACTTTATATTCCTTATATTTTTTTAAAGTGTAATCTCACATGCAATCAGTGTTTATTTCAGTTTGGGTTCAGAGTTCTCTAGAACCAGATCCTGATGAATAATCAAGTTATTTTCAAGCAACAATGTACTTTCTAATGTAGCTTTTACTTATTACTTCTATTAGACCAAATGGTACCATTGTTGGTTTACTCATTATATTCAGGGAGCGGAATAGTGAAATTTGTTACTATAAAGAACTTCAGATATTATCTAGCGTTAGTTATTTTTTCCCGTTCATGCCATTCCATTCACAGGTAAAAGACACATCTTTAAAATCTCTCAAGACAGCAGTAGAAGCATGCAGGAGTAGGATGACTTGTAACTCCACTTACAATATCCTTGGTCTCCTGCGAGGGCTTTCATCTTACAAGTGTAGTGTTCCTCTTCAAGGACAGTTCCTCTCGTCTCTTTCTTCCCACAGTGTTACAGTAAAATGGTGAGAGAAGGGCTTATCTCTCACGGGCTTACTTTCTCTGACTTGAGGGGAGGGTGAATTCTACTTATTATTATTGGCTCAACTGTAGTGTCTTTCTTAGAGATACAAACTTAATGCTGTTATTTCACCAGTTATGATGAACTGGTTATGATGAACTTCTTGAAGTTATGATGAACTTCAAGAAGTTATGATGAACTTCTTGCTTTTTAGCATCTCTGAAATTGGGATATGTCCTTTATTGATTGAAGCCTTAGTATTATTATTGGCCAAGTAGAGGTTGTGATATGTTTGTCATTGAACTTAGTTGTATCCCTAGTGTCATACAGTTGCAATCCCTTGATGTTTCAATTAATAAACTATTTAAAGACATTTTGAAGAGAGAATGTGAGTCCTGGTTGTTACCTAAAAATCTTTTAGCACCTGTGGTAAGACCAAGAAAATAGTATGAGCATTATAATTGCAAAATGGGAGACAGTGGCTTCAAAGAAAATTTTGGAGACAGTTAGAGGACCAAGACTTTTAGTGGCCAGAGAATGATATTGTGTGGAAAACACAGATATGAGGTAACTCTGAGTGAAAAAGTAATTCAGAAGCGTAAAACTTAAATACAAAGTATTTAATTATTTATGTATGCACAAGGATAATAGATACACAGTAATAATTTTTTATCTAAATAGGTCCAAAAGAGTTCTTTAAAAAGGTATAACATAAAAATTCTAAATGATAAAGTATTGTCATAGTTTAATTGGTAGTTTTTCTTCCTTATTGGAATATACTCATATACATTCTGTTTTGGGGAAGAAACATGTAAGTTGTTTTGAAAGAATTTACGTTGGCTACAGGTAAGGGGGGCGGGAAAAGGTGAAGTGGGGGCAGTTCTATGATAAGTACACAGTTTGTAAGGAAGAAATATTTATTACTTCTTGATTGGTTGTGGGTCACAGTCTGGAAAGTCACGCAGTATGCAGTGGTGTCTACTGGTGAGCTAATACACCCTGGAGGTTGATTCAAAGCTCCAACATACATTCAGGAATGTGAGCAGACTTTTGTTAGTTGACCCACAGCTATTAGCTGGTTAATTATCCCTGTTTCTCTCTCACTCTACTGTCTGCCGTAATTTAATTTAGGACATCTCAGAATTTTTCTCTTGATAAAACATTCCGATATACAGGCTGATACATGCTTTGTTTATTCTTTTCATCATCATTGTCAAGGTTAGATAATAGATCACTAAGAAATCTCCCGTATACTGAATTTTAAAGTACTTAATGCTTCTTTAAAAATAATGAATGTCCATTTTTAAAAGTTCAAACAATATGAAAACTACAGAAAAAGTCAAAGCACCTGAAATTCTATCCTCACCAATGATGTTTTTCCAGATACTTCTTATGCAGCTATTCATATGTGAAAATGGATGTGTAGTTTCTGTAAAATTATATAACCTCTTATGTTTAGTAAGTTGCCTTTTTTCTCATTCAGTGATGTGTTATGGCTGTTATTGCATCTTAAGAAATATTAATGTTCCATTGTAGAATTATGTTGAGTGATTTAAGCAGGTTCTTATGAATGGATGTTAAGGCTGATTCAGTTTTCCTTACTGCAAGCAGTGCTTTGATGGATAGTTTTGTATATCATATTTTTTGTTTTGTAAAATTCTTAAAAGTGGAATTTGGACATTTATTGAAATGCTTATTAATAGCTTTTAACAGATTGGTATTTTTTTCTGTATTTTTAAGATAATAGATGCAGTTTTGCTGAAGTGATGATGACATATATAATATTGAAATATCTTTAAAGCCTAATTAATATTTTAAGATCTGATTAAGATATGTACTTAGCATGGTGCATGCATTTATTAAATAATATTTCTGTTTAGGCTTTTCGTTAAAAAAATAAGTATGTCAAAAGAATGAGAGGACAAGCCACTAATTGGGAGAAAATATTTGCAAGACACATGTTATTAAGTCCTGTTATTCAAAATATATAAAGAACTCTTAAAGCTCAATAATTAGAAAACCAATAACCTGATTAAAAAATAGGCAAAAGATCTGGATGGACACCTCACCAAAGAAGATATACAGATGGTCAAAAAGCGTGAAAAGATACTTTACGTCACATGTCATTGAGAACTGCAAATTAAAACAAGGAGATACCACTATACACCTGCATTAGAATGGTGAAAATCCTAAACACTGACAACATCAAATGCTGGTGATAATGTGGCTCTACAGGAACTCCCATTCATTGCTGGTGGGAATGCAAAACAGTACATCCACTTGGGAAGACAATTTGACAGTTTCTTACAAAACTAAACATTCTTACCATATGATCCAGTAATTGTGCTCCTTGGTATTTATCCAAAGGAGTTGAAAACTTACGTCCATACAAAAACCTGCACATAATGTTTATAGCAACTATGTTTATAATTGCTGAAACTTGGAAACAACCAAGATGCCTTCAGTACGTGAATGGATAAATAAACTGTGGCACATCTATGTAATGAACTATTATTCAATGCTAAAAAGAAGTGAGCTATCAAACCATGAAAAGACGTGAAGGAACCTTCAATGCGTGTTACTAAGTGAAAGAAGCCAATCTGAAAAGGCTACATACTGTAAGATTCTGGAAAAGCAAAACTATGTAGTAAAGATAGTCGTTGCCAGGGGTTAGGAAGAAGGGAGGGATGAACAGGTAGAGCATAGAGGATTTTTAGGGCAGTGAAACTATTCTGTATGATACGAGGTCGGACAATTAAGTTTGCGAACTTGTTGCAACGATGTTGCTAACCTTTTTTGATATCAGAGGGATTATTCATTAGGAATTTATATCAACTAGACAAATAGTTAACCAAGACTGCTATTTGGAAGTGCTGAAAAGGCTGCGTGAAAAAGTTAGACGACCTGAACTTTTCACCAACAATTCGTAGTTCTTGCATCATCACAATGCACCAACTCACATGGCACTGCCTGTGAGGGAGCTTTTAGTCAGTAAACAAATAGCTATATTGGAACACCCTCCCTACTTACCTGGTCTGGCCCCCAAGGACTTCTTTCTTTACCTGAAGATAAAGGAAATATTGAAAGGAAGACATTTTGATGACATTCAGGACATCAAGGGTAATACGATGACAGCTCTGATGGCCATTCCAAAAAAAAGAGTTTCAAAATTGCTTTGAAGGGTGGACTAGGTGCTGGTGTCCATGCATAGCTTCCCAAGGGGAGTACTTCGAAGGTGACTGTAGTGATATTTAGTAATGGATATTGTAGCTCTTTTTCTAGGATGAGTTTGCAAACTTAAGTGTTAGACCTGGTATTATAATGTGGAAACATGTCATACATTTGTCAAAACCCATTGAATGCACACCAAGAGTGAATCCAAATGTAAACTATAGTCTGTGGGTGATAATGATGTGTCAGTATAGGTCATTAGTTGTAACAAATGTACCATTCTGGTGCGGAATCTTGATAGTGGGGGAGGCTGTGCATGTGTAGAAGTGGGGGTGGTATATGGGAACGCTCTGTACTTCTCAACTTTGCTATGAACCTAAAGCTATTCTAAAAAATCAAGTTTATTAAAAAATCAAGTATGCATTGTGACATTTCTGCTACTTTCATTTTTAGGCCCAGAATAAAGAGACTAATGTTTTAGCTGCTGCAAAGGTGATTGACACCAAATCTGAAGAAGAACTTGAAGATTACATGGTTGAAATTGATATATTAGCATCTTGTGATCACCCAAATATAGTCAAACTTTTAGATGCCTTTTATTATGAGAACAATCTTTGGGTAAGTATTTTCTATTGCTCTATAGGAGTAGTCAAAATGAGTGTATTGTCTGAAAGAAGTTTATAAGTTGTGAAAGCCTACTTTATATATTACCTCTTCTGTTTAGTTATTTGTGTTATTTGAATGAGAGTTGATGAGAGGTTTATTAACAGCATAATTATCCTTAGCTTCAACAGATATTCAGATGTATATTTCATATTGTACCATATTTCATGGTTATTTGATGTTGGGCCCAAATGGAGAAACTTGGTTAAGAATATTAAGTTTTATAAATGAAATTAGATGGCCTTCTCTTGCTTGTAATTTAAATTTAAGCATTCACTTAAATTTTTTTTGAAGTTTCTTTTGTTTTCCTAGAAATTGTTTGTAATTTTCTTACCCTAAAGTTTTTCTACATCATGAATAAATTATAAAATGCTTACTAGAGATGTTAAATATTTATCTTATATATTATCAGTCCAGCTTTAGTACATGAGACTATTATAAAATAAAAAGTTGGACAACTGTGAAGGGACAGTCCAGTGGGAGAGATAGATATTAATTAACCAAATAATCATAATAAATATAAAATTACAACTGTGATAAGGGTTAAGAAGGAAAGGTACATGGTGGTATGTACCAGGGAGGTTTGGGAAGGCATCCATCAAGACGTGACAGTTGAGCTGGGATCTGAAACTTTTGTATATATATTTTTTTCTATTTTTTTAAAACTTAAGTCTGTATTTTCAAGATTTATTTCTATTCCTAGTTAAGTTAAAATATATTTGATTACTTAAATCACAATAGTTACCTTAAAAATGAGAGTAATACAATTTTTCAGTGGTAATGAAATGGATATATAATGCTGTTCTGAAGAAAAATTCTGTACCTGGTTATTTTAGAGAAGCAAGGACACTCAAAATGGTGATTAACAAAAATGCATCCATTTCCAGAATGTGCTGTCTTTGTGTTTTCTCAAATGTATATCGTTAAGATGCCTAACACTTTTGACAAAGAAAATCTTTATGGTTAGCATAATATTGTTTCCATAGTCTGAGTTATTTGATAGCTATTTATCTTTTTTGTTAAATTTAAGAAAAAATACTCAAACTCAATGTTGTGTTAGACACATGCTTTTTTATTTGCCCACAGATCCTCATTGAATTTTGTGCAGGCGGAGCAGTGGATGCTGTGATGCTTGGTAAATACCATTTTTTCTTTATGTTTATATCTTAAATCACATTTAATAAAAATCAAAGGATTTAAAAAAATATATGTATGTATCTATCATTGTTAAGTTCAATCAATTAAGAAATCAGCTTAATTATATTTTTATATTATATAATTGTATTAAAATTCTAAGATGGGGCCGGACGAGTGGCGCGACGGTTAGGAACTGGCTTGGGATGCCAGAGGGCCCCGGTTCAGATCCCACATATGAGGGCCAGTGACACTGCCCTCCATAGCTAAGATGCTGAACAACAGCTCAACCTGGAGCTGGGCTGCCGTGAGTCGCTGGCGACAGCATAGGCTGCAGTCCCTGTGGCAGTGGGTTGCCATGGGCTACTGTATTTAGCCAGCAGCCAGCGTGAGCGGCCAGCAGCCGCAGTGAGCGGCCGTTCAGAAGCCGGCAACTGATCTGCCTCGCCAGGGAAGAGCGCAATGATGGTGCCAAGTTGGGCCAGTAAAGCAACGTCCTCCACAACTAGACTGAAGAACAAAACAGCAGCAACTTGTCTGTTCCCCTTCCCCCAATTCCCCAATAAAAATCTTTAAAAAAAAAAAACAAACTAAGATGAAAGGTTGAGTGTGATATGTGAGGAAAATAATCTTTGTAGATATTTAGTGCTTCTAAAATAAATTCACTGTGTATGATCCTTGACAGTGATGTAAAGGTATATAGCCTGCTGATATCTTTTCACTGTATAAAAATGCAGATTTGTTTACTTTTTCCTTACAGAACTTGAGAGACCATTAACTGAGTCCCAAATACAAGTAGTTTGTAAACAGACCTTAGAGGCGTTGAACTACTTACATGATAATAAAATCATCCACAGAGATCTAAAGGCTGGCAACATTCTTTTTACCTTAGATGGAGATATTAAGTTGGGTAAGTTTATTCTCTTAAATAAAACATTTGAATTTGTGCTCTGAGTTTTCCCCCTGTATGTGTATGTATGGGATTTAATATTGTTTTGCTGTGATTCAAATATGTGAAACATGGACAATTATTCCCTATTATTTTTTTAAATACTTCCTTGGATACTATTCATTAACTCCTAGAATTCCTAAGTATAGTCAACTAATATAAAGACACTTTAAAAAGAAAGTAAGAAAGGATGAATGTTTGTTTTCAAAAAGGCAAGCTTTTAAAAACTGGTTAATTCTTTTTTTCCCTTAAACTTTTGTATGTAGACTTATTACTTATTAATATAATATACAGTAATACCTTAGTTTGCGAGTATAATTCGTTCTGGAAACAAACTATTCGTATTGCAAGACATCGTTCATTTACCACGTTAAAATGTATTACAAATGTTTACTTGTCTTGCAGAGCACTTGCAAACTAAGTTACTCGCAATCCAAGGTTTTACTGTGTTTAGAATATGATGTAGTATGTAAAACTGCTAACTTTGTTTTATGTTTAATTCAAAAACTCATGTCTAGTGAGATTCTTTTTCCATGTTTAGTTTTATATTCTATTTTATACATATGGTATCTTGGCTAAACTAACAAAGTAACTAACCTTAGGTCTGAAAAGGATGCTTAAAATAAATATAAGGACTACAGTTTTTACTTGTTTTTACACTGGGGGAATAAATGAAACTTTATAAGAAGTAGATATAAATTTAAATGGGAAATTAATTTCATGTATATACACATACAAATGTAAGATAAGTATACCCAGGATATGAATTTTTTAAAACGTTAGCAAGACATGCTGTCATAAAGGCTGCTTTGGTATAATTTCTGTTTTTCACACTATAGAAAAAAACGTTTATGGCTATTAATTATAATGTAGCACTAGTTACATTTGTTTTGAAATAGACTGGTTTTTAAAATTATTTTTTTTTCTTCAATTCTGGAGAATTTGTGATCTGAAGATTGTATAAAGATGGTGGTGTTAAGTGTATTAATGATGGAATCTTTTTTTTCTTCTGTTCTTTTTTTTAATGATGGAATCTTTTCTTTGGCATTTTTTTTGAGTAGGTGTGGTAGGAAGAGGGTGGTCAAAATTAGGATGGTAGAGAAGTTATTTTTTTTTACCCTTTAATAGGAGTGGCCTTGTGAAAGACTTAATATGCTTTCCTCCTTTGTGAACTTTGCTTAAAAACTATCAGTAACACTTTTGTATGATTACTTATTTCAAGCGGATTTTGGAGTATCAGCTAAAAACACAAGGACAATTCAAAGAAGAGATTCCTTTATTGGCACACCATATTGGTATGTATTCAGTTTTATGGATTTACAGTGTTAGTTATGTAAGCAGTTGTTATACTCATTAATTTGTCTACATAATTGGAGATAATATCTTTTATGTGGTTTGCAGTCACTGTTCTTAAGTTAAACATCTTTACTTTCAATTCTCTGTTTTCATAGGATGGCTCCTGAAGTAGTCATGTGTGAAACATCTAAGGACAGACCGTATGACTACAAAGCTGATGTTTGGTCCCTGGGTATCACTTTAATAGAAATGGCCGAGATAGAACCACCACATCATGAATTAAATCCAATGCGAGTGTTGCTAAAAATAGCAAAATCTGAGCCCCCTACGTTAGCCCAGCCATCAAAATGGTAACATAGTCTAAACAAAGCTTTTTACGAAGTAAAACTTGATGCTCTATTCTTCCAACTTTCCAAGGGTTCTTAAATTTATGATACAAAGACTATATGAAGTGGAAAACTGATTTTTGGTTTATTTTCAAGACTTAAGGACCCGATAAGGACTCTTATAACTAACTTTTCCCATAAATTTGAAAATACCAGCAATTTGAGTTCTATAAGAAAAAGGTTATTTTCTGTACTATGAGAAAGTGAGGCATATATGTGTTTGATCTATATTTGTGGAGTGTAATATAATAGAGGAATTTTTGTGATTTTTGGCATACTTGTGAATATAGGGTTATGTCTCAATGGCTAAAACTATGAATTTACATACGGGGTGCCAAAAAAATGTATACAAGTGGACACTTTGGTCAGCATTGCTCAAGCAGTAGTTCGCTGTAATCTGAAGTGTCTGGACACTGATGGTAACCACTTTGAGCACCTCTTGTAATTGCAAAAGTCAAACGTGACTTGTATTCATCTTTTGTTATTGGTATGTATTGAATATTACAATTTTAATAGTTTTTTTCCTAAAATGTGTATATATTTTTTTGGCACCCTCTGTATATGTCTAACTTGTATTTATAGATGAGTAACTTATAAAATCTTAATAGTCTCATTAACTACTTTTCTTATGTGAATTTATACTATTGCAAGATAATGAAACTTAAGCATAATTTATCTGAGTTTTGTTTGTTTTTAATAACAAGAAAGTAAAAAAGAATGTCATTGTTAAAATTTTATTTTGAAGGTCTTCAAATTTTAAGGACTTCCTAAAGAAATGCTTGGAAAAAAATGTGGATTCCAGGTGGACTACATCTCAGCTACTGCAGGTAAGATAAGAGTAATATGACAAAAACAAACCCTGTAATTGTTCTAACATCTTTTTAAGAAGAATGCAATTTTAGATTCATTCATTGTGCTCTCTTGCTACTTGAGTTTCCTTGTGGAAACTCAAATACATTTTTAGTTGACATATGTGCTGCCGTTGCTAAAAGGCATTCAGCTTATAAGTCATTCCTCCAGGCTTTTTAAATTCAGTTTAATTGTGTGTGTGTTTTTAATTTTGTTAGTTATTTTCACTTTGTTAGTTGCTTTCGTCTTGTTTCTCCAGTTACTAGAAAGCAGGCACCTTGGAGGCGGGACACAACTAATTTTTTTATGTCTCTTACCGTGAAGGTAAATGTTCAGTAAATACTGCTGACTTTTAAAAAATGATGGTAAAATGATTGGATAATTTTGTTTTATGACAGGACTGGTTTATACTTGAAATAAAGCTTTGCCAAATAATATTATAGGTGGAAAAAAAGAATGACAGATCTTGAGGCAGTTATTTTTCGGTTGAGTACTGTGTAACTCTTGCATTATAGTGTTTTAGGTTGATCTGTTTATCTAGGAGGGAAGCAGGAAAAATTGCCTTGTTCTGTGCAATAAATGTATCCCTAGAACACACTTTTTAAAAAATTATTTCACTATCCCCACATTTGAAGGCTTTAGTCTGTGACAGACACTGTTAAGTGCTGAATATACAGAGATGAATAAAACGTCCTCTTGTCCTTAAGAGTATTAGAACCAGATCAGAAAGCAAGTGTTTGTAGACATGTTTAACATAACTTGAAAGCTTTTTGTAATTCTTTTATTGAGGCTTCAGACAGGATTTATACATGTCTTGTTACTTGTTAAGAACTGGTAATGTACTAACTGGAAACTTACTTTAAATTTTAATTTAAATTTTAGGTTATGAAATTTTCAAGCATACAGAAAAGTACATGTACCTACTACTCAGATATAATGCATTATTATTTTTCACATGTTTTCTTCAGGTTCGTAAAAATAAAGGTCCAGATACAGTTGCAGGCAGCCCCCACTCCTGCTCAATCCCCTTTGCCTCCTCCCTTTCCCAGATGTTATATTATCTGAAGTTGTTTGTATTTTCCAACTCATGTGTTTATATTTTTACCACGTTTTATGTATTTGAAACAACTTTATAAGCACGCATTTCGGCTGTTATTGAGCATGCTTTTTTCAATGATCAAACAGCATCCCTTTGTTACTGTTGATTCCAACAAACCAATCCGAGAGTTGATTGCAGAGGCAAAGGCTGAAGTAACAGAGGAAGTTGAAGATGGCAAAGAGGAGGAGGAGGAGGATGAAACAGAAAATTCTCTGGTCAGTATTTAGCAAGGAAATTTGATTTAGGTAATTTTTAGAGTTGGGTTTTGAGGTATGATTGCACCGGTATCTAAGGATTAATTGATGGGTAGCAGTACAATACCTTTAATTTTGGAGGTAAAGATTAAGACCAGGTTTGCTCTTGCTACCCATTTTTGTCATATTATGTGCAGATATGTCAGTTTTTAAAATTATTTTTATAACTTCATCAGATTTTACTGAATAAACATTAAATCATACATATGAATTAAATAATATAAAAATATAGAGATTGGAAACATTGTTTTGGTTATCGTCTTGAAGTCATGTTTTAACACTAAAAATGTATAAAATCTTTTTTAGCCAGTACCTGCAAGTAAGCGTGCCTCGTCTGACCTTAGCCTTACCAGCTCTGAAGAAGATAAACTTTCACAAAATGCTTGCATTTTGGAATCTGTCTCAGAAAAAACAGAGCGTAATACTCCTGAAGTTAACAACAGAGTTCTTAATGAAAAACCCACCACCGATGAGCCTGAAAAAGCTGTGAAGGGTATTGCTGAACATAATAATGATACTCATTTAGAAGCTATGGCTGAACTCCATGATAGGACAACAGTAATCAAGGAAAATGGGAGGGAGGAGAAGAGACCCAAGCTTGAAAGTCTACCTGACACAGAAGACCAAGAAACAGCAGACATTAATTCAGTCAATGAAGGAAAAGAAAATAATGTAATGATAACTTTAGAAGCAAATACTGAACAGCATTTGAAACCTGAAGAAGAAAGGGATCAGGAAAAGCAACAGATACTTGAAAATAAGGTTATAAAATCTGAAGAAATTAAAGATTCTACTATTCAAACAATGGATTTAGTTTCTCAAGAGACTGGAGAAAAAGAGGCAGATATTCAGGTAATTGACAATCAAGTTGAGCTTACGAAGGAAGACACCCAAGAGAATTTGGGAAAAGATGAGAAAACTCAAAAAGATGTGATCAATGATATGAACAATGTGATAGGAACAAATGAGTCAGTAGATATTGCTCAGAAGACAGTTGAAAACAATGCTGAGGATGTTCAGAGTAATGATGGGAAAGAAATGGTTGAAGTAGGCCAGGAATTAGCAAGTAAAGCCGTGGAGGGTCCTGAGGTTGGTGGTACTGAGGAAGTTCCTATTAAAGAAATAGTTGAAACTGATGGAATAGATAAAAAATCTGTAGAAGGTAAAGGTGAGGAACAGTTCATCAACAGCTCCGAGAACGTAGTGGAGACCAGCGAGGAGCCCAGGATAAATGAAGTTGGGGACATCACTGAGTCAAGTGGCGCTGAAGGAATCGAGGTCAGAAGTGCAGTGATTGATTCTGACCGAAAGGCTTTAGGAGGTGAGATGCGGGATGCTCATGAAGTCACTACCCAGACAGACACAGAGCAAAAAGAAATTCCATGCGAAGTGCCAATGAAAACAGAGCCTGAAGTTACTGCTGCTTCACAGCCCAGTGACCCTCAGCTTGTTCCAGTGCCCAGCATTAATGTCAACTCTGAAGATGCAGAAAATAAAGGGGACATAGGCGCTTTATCAAAAACTGAAACTCTGTTGGTACCAGAGTCGGAGAATCAGAAGGAAAATGATACTGATTCAGGCACTGGTTCCACTGCTGATAATAGCAGCATTGATTTGAATTTATCCATCTCTAGCTTCCTAAGCAAAACTAAAGACAGTGGATCAATATCTTTACAAGTAAGTGTACATGGGTCCTTGTTTGGGTTTTTCTTTGTCATTTTGACAATTTAGAGTTTATGTGAAACTGATGTCTTGAAAATGAAAACAGCACTAAATCAGTGTAATAGTATTTAACCCTATAAAATGCTTAAGGCCTCTGCGAAGGCAATTAATTAAAAAGAACCAAGGAGAGAGATTCTGGATGTAACCTTTAAAATTTTTGTTAATACCTCCTTATTTTTGCCAACTTGATATAAACAATATAATATAGTTGCTCAGCATGATTTGGGTTCTCTTATTGCACATATCTATGTACTGTTTTAGCAAGAATCAATAATATATGAAAGAATTGAGAAATTGAAAGAAGGGCCTTTTTAAAAGCATGTTTAAGATATAAACAGCCTTTCATTTACCACTGTTCCATACAGATGACCACTGTTGCTTCCTGAGTCGTAGCCATCACTGCTACCATGAGAACCATTATCGGAAAACAAACAAAACCAAAAATGAAAACCCAGACCACTTGCAGCTTTTAGAGCATAATTCTCAAGTACTAGTGTACATAAGAGTTACTAGGATGAGCTATGTAGAAGTATGGGGTGGGGCCTGAGAATCAGTATTTGTAACAAAAGATCCTGTGGAATTCTGATACAGGTGAGCCATGGACTTATTAAAGACTCTGGGTTGATAGGTAGCAGAAGAGAGGATTGTGGAAAGCAGAAACAACTTAGGAAAACTGATTTTAGGGACAGAACTCAAGAGCATGACTGATCAGCCTACCCATCTACCCCCAAATCATTATGTCTTGCCTAGAGTGTCTTCAGTTTATTTTGTTTTACTGACTCAAATTCCATTAATATGAAGTTCATTTATTGACTGAATAGTCTTTCTTAAAAATGCAAATATTTCTGTGAGAATTAAGGTGATACTTATTACGGATGCTTTAGTAGGAACTGAAGAATTGGGAAGTTTGGAGGTTACAGGGAGGTAGATCTATTTTTGAGGCATGCCCACTTTAGATTTTAGAGGAAACCTGGAGATGTAGGGTGCCGCAGCCCAGGGCTTAGGGAGAGGAGTGTGAGGATACTGAGAGCCTGGAGAACAGAACAACAAAAGGTTGCAAAAAGGTGACTGGAAAGTGCTAAAGACAAACTTTAAAATTCAGATGCATTTTAGGTTTAGCATGCTCACATTCCACTTTTGTTCCCTCTGCTTTGTATCCTTTTCCCCCATATCAAAAGCAAGTAATTACCTGCTCTCAATACATATATGTTTACCAAATGTGTTTGTATGAATGTTATACTTCTATTATTTCTATTTGTATTTAAAAAGCATTTTGATACCAGTTGAGGAATGAAGAGTTTGGTCTTAATAAAGAACTGTAGACAGTAGCTAGCAGGCAACTCTAGCACTTTTGAGGTACAGTAGAGGTGCTATCTTTACAGTAACTAAAATCACACATTTATCTCTGGCCCTGAGATGGAGGAGGGGACTGTTGATATTGTTGCTGATGAAATGGAATTTGATTCCCAGTCCTGGCAGTGTTTAAAAATTACCTGGGGAGCCTTTTCAAAATACAAATTTCCAGCTACCCTCAGCCCTATTGATTTAGATTCTTTAAGGGGTGAGCTCCAGGAATTCATTTTTATGTGATTTGTCAATGATTCTAAAACTGAAAAGCAGGACGTATCTGAGAACCTAAAAAGTGAAGAAGAAAAAAATGATTAACCTGTGAAAGTTATACTAATTAGTCATTTATGTGATTGCTGTTTCCCACTGTTCCTGATTATGATGATCATAAAAATTATACATGCACTTCATCAAAATGCATAATTTCACTTGAAAAAATTTTGACTTCCATCTGTAAAGTCATGTTTAAGTCAGATGAGGTTTAAGATGATATAACTGGTCCCACAGGTGAGTTGTGTTGCTTTATATTCTTACTTTGTATGTGTAGTCTTCATGGCTATTCAGTTTTGTTTTGTTTTGTTGTTGTCTGTCTCTAGTATTACCTGTATTAAGCCTAACTAAAATAAAATTTCACTTAGGAAACAAGAAGACAAAAGAAAACGTTGAAGAAAACACGCAAATTTGTTGTTGATGGTGTAGAAGTGAGTGTAACAACATCAAAGATAGTTACAGATAGTGATTCCAAAACTGAAGAACTGAGGTTTCTTAGGTGAGTAGAGAAACAACATAATTAAAACTGGTTTTGCAACTTCTTTTCAGCCTCTGCAAAGTCTGAAGCCTAGAGAAACGAATGAAGTCTTGGCTAATTTTGGATTATTCTTCTATTACTTTTCTGTTTGAAAAAAAATTATTTTTAAAGTTTTTTTTTAAAGTATTACTTCAAAGTTGTAATTTTTACTATTTTACTTAATCATTGCTATTAAATTTTATCAGACGTCAGGAACTTCGGGAATTAAGATTTCTTCAAAAAGAAGAGCAAAGAGCCCAACAACAGCTCAATAGCAAACTGCAACAGCAACGAGAACAAATTTTCCGACGCTTTGAGCAAGAAATGATGGTAAAGTCTTAGATTTTTGTACCATTTTGTTAATGAAATTTAGTGCAGAAAGAACCGACTTGTGGGTTCTAGAACTTGTTCTCTGATTACTAGATTTTTCTGGCTTTGTAATGTATTTTTGACCTTTTTTAAATCTCTGTATTCTGTATGACTTTTTTTTTTTGTCTTTTGCCTGAAAGGATCTTTCATCTCGGTCTTCCTATCACTGACTTATAGCGTGATGGGTGTCCTCATTTTTTAAAATTTATTTATTTTTATTAAAATCTGTCATAAAACCTGGAATCATGAAGCTAGTAGATGGTTTACAAAGTTCTTAGATGTGCCTATTGCTGGATAATTTTTCAGTGTTACAATTTGACTTCTAGAATCCAAGATTTTAAGCCAGTATAGAATAGTTGTCTTTCAACCTTGCTGAGTATTAGAACTTCTTGGGGGCTTTTTCACAATACACTTACTTCTCTGGCTCCTACTGTTAAGCTTCCACATCTCTATTCACAACTGCTAGAGAAATTAGTGCTGACTAGTCAAGGGTAATTTTCACTGAGTCTTTCAATTTTTACTTTGTACCTGAAGTTGGAAAAGGAGTTAGTAATGTGATATAACATTTTGATAACTTACATTAATCTAGGTTAGAAAAAAAAATCATTTGAAATGTTACAGTATTTATGCTTTGAATATATTAGGTCATCGGGAAAGGCATGATGCATTTTGCATTGAAAAACATAGAAAAAATATGTCTTGACTTTCCCGACGACCCAGTAGTACTTTTGCTATTCTCGTAATTGCAAATAATGATTGTTTTGTGTGACGTGGGATAATGTTGATTACATTTGTTGGATCATAACTGAGAATTCCTAAGAAAATAATGAACTTTTTGTTCTCATTAAGTATTTTTATAGTACTTACATTCTGTTTTCCAGAACTTCATAACAAGTGTTTCTCCTCCCCAAATATTTTTCAGAATGTTTTGCTTTTTAATATTTTTTAAAGAAAATACCCTTTACAAATATTTACTTATATCCAAAATTGCATGTTACTCAAGTTTTATATAAACAGCAATCTTCTGTTGAAAGAGTAGATTTATAATACTGAAAGATTTGTTTCAATGAAATAGAATGTTTATTTATTTTTTTTTAAAGAGTTTTTTCAATGAAATAGAATGTTTATTTTTTTTAAAGATTTTTATTGGGGAATTGGGGGATGGGAACAGCGCTGGGGAATTGGGGGAAGGGGAACAGACAAGTTGCTGTCGTTTTGTTC